CAGTTGCAGATCTGCTCTGGCGTGTTCCAATACTCTTAATATGGTGTCTTCGTTCGCATCTTTTCTTTGTCTTTCTTGCTCACCTGGTGTGGATACTTAATGGTTTCCTAACCACTCATTGTCCCACACAAGCTGTTTGTTCATTCTTTCATTTCGTTGTTCCAAGGTCAACATCTCTGATTCCATCATTGTTTGCCCATGTCTGCCACTGCTCTCTTGTTCTCGGGCATCACTGCAGGGCCTTGTGGTCTCTTCTTCCTCTTCTCTGCCCCCCATTCGCCCTGCTTCGTCCTGGCACCTCCCTAAAGTACTTACCTTCAGGTCTATCAGGTCCTCATCTTGGCTGACTACATCACAGTCGTCCACAGACCTGTATTCCTCTTCCTTCTCCACGTCCATATCCAATGTTCCCCCATTTACTCTGTACACAGGTGCCTGGATTGAGGGTTTTAACAAAGAGGGATTGATTATTCTGCACTTCTTCTTTTCATACGGCGGGGGAGGTGAGGGAAGCTCAGTCTGCCCATGTGCTTCTGTCAGCACTGACGGGTATACTGGTGTGTAGACAGTGTTGTCAGGTCTGGGAGTGGTGGTGGTTTTGAAGTCTGTCTCTTTCAGGACCTCAGGTAGTCCCACAGCATCCGGAGGGGTGGTCGGGTCGACAGCCTTCCAGTAAGTGAGCAGAAGCTTGGTATCTGAGCACCTCTTTTCTTCTATGTTGAGGACCCCTTTCCTACCGTATTTGTTCAAGCGACTGGCTCCTTCATGATCTGCAACAGCATTGTTTTTAGCCTTTGCAGCTTCTCTCCACACTCTGCATCTGTTTTCAGCAGTGGGGGCCACTGTTGGAAACCACCCGTTCCTCTGCCATCTCTTCAGGTATTTTTTCATCTTCTCCCATTCCTTTCCCCTTTCTTTGGGCACCATTTGATCCTCCATCCTTTCTCTGGCTCTTCCCAGCATTTCCTAAGTATTTAGCGTGACCATTCTGTAGCCTAGGAGAGTTCAACGATCTCTCAACTATCTCAGCACTGACCGCGTTAAAAATATATGCAATGGAAATTTTTAAAGAACTATGTAAAATACACAAATGTTGTACCAAAATGAATCAATACTGGATATACTAAGAAATCCTGAATTACAATTAAAATAAAAACTCTTGGATCAAAATCAATATCTAAATTTAAATTGACATTAAAACCAAATCTAAATCCAAACCTAAACCAAAGTCAATAAAACCTGAATCAGAATGCTGAATTAAAAATCGAAACTAAAATCAAAATCAGAATTAAAATCAAAATCAAAATTTTATTAAAATCAAAGTCAAAGTGAAATCTAAAATCAAAAAAATGATTAAATGATTCATGGAAATCTAACTGCTGGACTAAAATTGAAATCAATAGTGGAGGTCAAAATTTTAGATCAAAACTAAACCCTAACAACTAAAGTTGAAATGTTGAACTGCAACTACACCCAACAATCAAAGAAGTTACAATGTATTGCTGCCAGTCAGACATGTCCTTCCACACCATTCCTGGGCCTCGTACCAGAACACATGTGGAATCTCCCCCTTTACAATTCAGATTGTGTGGGGACAGAGAAACAGAGACAGCAGCAGTACTTTCTTCCCCAATAAACTCTAACTTTCTAAATCCTTCAATTTCATTCGAATACATGTGCTATGTGGGTGTGACTGGTGTTTGTCAAGTTTCTAATGTGTGTGTTAAATGTACAAGTTTGTCATCTAAAGAATCTAAAGTTAACTCACCCTCTGTGTTGTATTGTGTGCGTGTCGTTGGTCCAAAACTAGGGTCCACTCCGCCGCCTGCTGCACCCCCCATTCTGATGGCTGATTCTCGAGCCCTTCCACCACTCCTTGTTCATGGAGAATGAGCAGCCTCTTCTTTAACAACCTCTTGCACACGACGCCCCCGAATTTGGGGGCTCTCGGGATCAGCCCCCCTGAAAATATTGTTCGGAAAATGCCCTTATTGTTCGCCAATATTGTGGATTTGTAAATTTTTTTTACCGGATTAAACAGCAACGTATGGGCAACACTATCATATAAGTCACTTTTTACACACTCCAAACACAACTATAGACTACTAATATAAGCATCTAGAAAATGTGGTATAAAAGGACGAATTTGTGGCCAAAAATCGGCATCATATTTAACTGCACATCGATTTTGGACCACGAAGCTAACGGCTACCGAGCTAACCAATGCATTTTTTAGCATTCGATACAGAACGCATAAATACCTTCGGTTTTTTTCTCCGTGGAACCAGTAGAAAGCTGTGAGTAGACAACGGTACCATGACAGTGCCCTTCGCCAAAAATAATCTTTGGTTTTTGGTCACCTTTTATGAAAAATGAGTACAATAACATCGAAGATTATCCGGTTCAAAGCTACCATCATTGTTGGCAACTGCATCCTGTTTGCTGCCGAGCTGTTTCCTGTAGAAACATGGGCGAGCGGTCAGACTTTCGACGAATGGAAATTTATGCTCGGGGAGACGCGGCACTTCTTGTAACTTTACTCGCTGAAACTTCTGTCAATCAACACCCGCTTCGACACCCGCCTTCCTGAGACTCTGACGCGTCGAAGGCAGGCTCATTGACTGAAATCGACCGATGATAGGCTGAGCTACAGCCCCATACACACAGAGCAACTGAGAAAATCCTATGGATGACAGCCAGAAACATGCTCTGAGAGGACCCTTGCTCTCAAAATGATTTCAAACGGCTGTATTTGGATGTATTGAATAATATGAGTGATAAAAAAGTGAAATATATAGTTATATAGTATATAAAAGTACAATGTAAGAGCTGCAACAGCTGGTTCGAAAATGACGACCTCGCGTGACCTATCTGTACTAAAGCCTCTTATTCTTCACTTTATCCCAGCCAGCCTTTATTCAACAACTACTGATCGGTTGTGCTATGATTTGGGAGAGTTTTTAGGCTCTCAGCTGCATTATTTCAAAAACATAATATCAATAAAAGTGCTTTTTTTTCAGGCGAACCTGAATATTTTCAATTTGAGCTGTGTAATATCTTCATGCACTATATTAACCAGCAACATATACACAATATGTACCCATCTGAACAATCTCAAAGTGTTATCTGATTATAGCATCAAAAATTATTAAAATAGACCTTGTAGTTACAGAACTGTGGTCTCCTTAGTATGGGTATGCCATTTTCGAGCAGAGGCCTACAAATAGGGCTCGAGCTTAAGAGGATGTTCAAGCTTATCAGCTGGGCATCCTTGCATCTGTGCTGCTCTGTCCATGTCACACAATTCTCTTCCGTGATGTTTTCCAGGATCATGGATGGCGGAAAGCCTTCACTCAGGTTGTTCAAGTTGTTTGTGGCTGGGGAGCATACAGCAGCGAAGTGGAGTCCCCAGATCTGGATCCACTCGACCATGTACCTTGACTAAAAAACAAGCAAAACAAAAACTACCCAAAGTTCAGCAGTAAATGTTAGAATACATCTTCGCTAATCTGTAGTTGGGTACAAAGTTGTCTCATGTAGAGATAAAATGCAAAAATTTACAATCCAATTCTTAGATGTCTGTGTGTGTGTGTGTGTGTGTGTGTGTGTGTGTGTGTGTGTGTGTGT